TTTAGGGATTTAGGGTTTAGGGATCTAGGGATTTAGGGGTTTAGGAATTTAGGGTTTAGGTTTTAGGGTTTGGGCTTTTGGGAGTTAGGATTTAGGGATTTAGAGTTTCGGGTTTGGGTTTTGGGTTTGGGGTTTAGTTTTTTTGTTGTGAGGCTTGAGGGTTGAGGGTTTAGTTTTTTTTGGTTTGAGGGCTGAGGGTGTGGGGTTTAGGGTTGAGGGGGGGAGGAACGGTTTAAGGTTTTGGGGCGTGTAGGGCTTGGGGTTTAGGGATGTGGGGTGGTGCAGGGTTGTGAGTGTGCTTGCTTTGTTTGATTGAGGATTTTGGGTTAATTCTCTGCGTGGAGTTTGGGTTATGAAGGGTTTATAGAGTGTAGTGTTTGCGGAGGGTGGAGGTGTAGGTTTAGGGTTTAGGGTTTTTGGGTAGGGGTTTTGGGGCTATGGAAGCTAGCGCCGAGGATCGCCGAGGGTTTAGGGCGCACTGTACAATGTTTAGGGTTTCGGAGGGGGGGTTTTGGAGTCCAAAGTTTAGGGTTTAGGGTGTAGGGTTTAGGGTTTAGGCTTGGCAATCCAGCAGTGATGTGGCAACCTCCATAATTAGAGTTGAGTGCCTTTGGGATCCCGAGATTGCTTGCTGGCTCAGATGACGAAAAGTTCAGCTTATCGCATCCTATATGTGCGTTCCTCACTGGAACGTGAAGGTCGGGAACAAATTCAAGGATGGCGACAACGTCTTCATCAACTGAACCGTCTGCGCGCAGCACAGCCCCGCCACGAGCAGAGGTCCTGCTAAAGCATTGAAAGAAGAAGACACACTTTCGCATACTTGCGCTGAAGAGCAGACGCTGAAAACTCCATGTACTGATGATAATGACTTTTGTTGCATGTCCTTGATGTTGTTTGAGAAGCACACTTCTTGTGGAAACTGCATTTGTGACTGTAGCAATTGATGCTGGTAGACTATACTATATTTATATAGGGGTCATGAGGAAGCGATATTTTGTTGCAATTGGCCAGACCTTGTATCAACCCTTAATTTTCGTCCGTTAAACACCGAGCCCCAAGCCCGGAACGCAGCAACCGTAAACCCCAGAACCCGATTGACACCCTAAAGCCCAAGCCCACATAGAGCCTTTGTAGACCCCTCATAAAACCGGTCAGACCTTGATAGAACCTTATATTATATTGAATCCCAACCTCACAAACTAAACCCTAAACACCTAAGCCCTAAAACCTAAAACACCAAAACCCAAAACCCCTAAACCCCTAAACCCTAAACCCTAAACCCTAAACCCTAAACCCTAAACCCTAAACCCTAAACCCCTAAACCCCTAAACCCCAAACGCCTAAACCCTGAAGCCCTTGGAAGCCAAAGGCTCCTCCTTCCTGAACCAACTGCAGACCATCATCGATCAAACGCCGCCTCCCCAGAGCTAGGCTGGGTTCTTGTATAGGGTTTAGGGTTTAGGGTTTAGGGTTTAGGGTTTAGGGTGTTAAGGAACTTAACTAGGCTGTTTTTTGGGACATGTCTTATTTTCCTTATTTGGGTTTACAAGGGACCCTGTATGTAAATATTTTTCAGAGGGTTTAAAGGCCAACCCAGTTAGTTTGTGTTACCATAAGAGGGATCAAAAGTGAATACTATGGTTTCCTTATTAAGTCACTTAACTTACATCGCTGAACAAGAACTTAGTGGGGGGGTTTTGGAGGGTTTTGGGCTTTGGACGTTTGAGTTTACAGTAGGGTTTGGGACTTCTGCGTGCAGAGGTTTCAGGGTTCAGGGCTTAGTCGTTTGGGGTTAAGAGTTTCAGGTTTTAGGGTTTTAGGGTTTTAGGGTTTTAGGGTTTTAGGGTTTTAGGGTTTGGGGGTTTTAGGGTTTAGGTTTTAGTGTTTTAGGTTTTAGGTTTAGGTGTTTAGGTAGCTGTTGGGGCCCAAGCCTCCAAGGTGGCACAGCCGGCGCCTAGGGGTACCAATTGGAGCCATGGACAATCGTAAGAGAGGGTTTGATGAGGTCGAGAAGGAACCTTCTGCACCGCACTGGGCTGATATTAGGCTTCTTTATGAGGCCGCGGATTCCTTCGGACTTCCGGCTCTTGAGGGCCAGGCTTTTCATGTGGCCTTGGACGGTCGTGCTGTTTTTGAAACTAACAGGTGGCTGCTTTCCGGACATTTGTTGGCAAGTTGGATGGGTGGGTCCTCCAGGGAGGGCTCCGCTGGGCCCAAAGTTGTCGTTGCAGTTTCCGAGACAGTTTACGCTTCCGTGGTGGCTCACACGTCAGTCCTTCGCATTCTGCAGGCAAAACTGACGGCAGGAACTTCGCTGCCCATCATCGACACGTGCTCAGGCTTGTCGGTCGTTGCAGGAACCAGCCTGCTTCAATGCACCGAGACCATCGAGGTGGCGGAGCTCTTTTGCGGGGGCTTCAACGGTTGGAGCCAGGGTGTCAAGGTGTTGAGAAGCTTCGGATATAAGTGCCGCACTCGCTGGCTTTTGGATACTGCACAAGAATGCTTTGAAGGCTCGCGGCAGGTCAATCCAGGCCTCCAGGCGATTTATAACCAGGAGGAGCTTTTGCAACAGTGTTCATCACAGGACCTGGGCTTTATCTGCACAAATCTGGAAAGCCCATGGTGGCTTCAAGGCTTGGTGATTACGGCCCCTCAGGTCATATGCGTTTCCGCTCCGTGTCAGCCTTGGAGCGTGGGCGGCCTAGGTTCGGGTTTAGACTCGGAGGAGGGTAGATTACTGCTGCATGTCTTCGGACAAATGGCCTTCCTGCAACCAGCGGTCATTGTTCTTGAGCAAGTTCCCGGCTTTCGCAAACATCCGCACTTTGATCAGGTGCAGCAGGCTTGGATCGAGGCAGGTTATCGTGAGGCATGGGCCAGCATCCTGGACATGGTGGACGTGGCACCCACGTCGAGGAAACGCTTCCTGCTTGTTCTGCTCCGCGCAGACTTGGAAGAGCCCCACCTTTGCACTTCGAATGGCCGGTGCTCCCCAGGCGGCCCACCTTGGGTTCCTTTGACTGCATCCTGCGTCTGCCCCATGACATGCATGAGGACTGCGTGTTGGACGAGGCCACACTTGCAAAATACCTTGACCCATGGTTCCTGCCACCGCCACAGCACAACCAGCATCATGCGCAGTCCCCTCAGGCTTTCAGGTTTCGCGGCCTCTCTGATAGAGCCTCCTGCTTTGTGGCCCAGTACCACTATCAACATGAGCTGTCGGATCGCATTTTAGAGCGGGCCGGGCTTTTCGGCATCCTCCTTGAACTGCCTCATGAGGTCAGGTTTTTCAGTGGTGCTGAGGTAGCACTGATGCATGGAGCGATCAGCCCTATCTGGCTGCCAAAGGACGACCGCGTGCAGATGCGTTTGATGGGCAACGGCATTAGTATCTTCCATGCCGTTATCCCCCTCACCTTGGCCTTTCAGGTTATAGGTCCCCGCTCCCTTAGGGTGTCCACCGCACAGGCTATTCTGCAAGGCATGGCCATGCGGATTAAGGCGAGTCAGGCACGTATCCTTGACCTAAAGGAGGGCTGGGTTCTTTGCCGCGCTGGTACGGCCCTGCAGTCCTTCATTGAGGCCCACCACACATGGGTGCCACGACAGCAGCTGCCAGACCCCTCACTCAGGTTCGGGCGCTTCGTGTGTGTTGGTCGGGCGGAGACGTGCCACTTCGTGGTAAGCCCCGCGGTTGCTCTTCCCGGTTTTCTTGCCCTGTTGGGCCATGAGTTTCCAGCCGAAACATATGCACAGCTCCAGCTGATGCAGATCCCGCTGGATACTGCCCTGCCTCGTGACTTTGATCCGCCAGGCGAGGCGCAACTTGATCTGGAGACCTTGCCCCCACTTCCACTGCCGAGCTGTCTCCCGCAAGAGGATGGCCAGGACCTGCTGCTGGTCATTGGCCAACAAGCCTACTACGTGCTGCATCGCAACGGCCCCACTTTCTTCTGGGAAATGGCACAGACCATGGCTATGGAGGGCTGGCGCCAAGCCGATTTCTTCGAAACTGACGATTGGTTTTCCCGCGAGGGTATCCGGATTCTTTGTCGGTCCGATTTGAAGGGCACTGTGCAGTTTTGAGTTGTTGATTGCCTCGAGGATGCCCCGTGGAAGGTCTCTCTGGACCAACTGGCCTGCTTCAAGGTGCTGAGTGCAGCAAGCCCGCCGCGGGTGCGCATCTCCGGCCCCGCTGCAACACTGCTCTGCAAGGACTTTCCAGTGCGCCTTTTCGCGGCTTGGGGTTGGCTTGTCAATCTCCTGCCTCATATATCTGGTGACCAGTTACATGCTGACCTTGTCTTTCTCCCAGGTCGCGATCGCCTTCGCATACCAGAGACACAGGTCCTTCCCAGACTCAGCCGCCAGCTCTTTGCTGGCTTGCTTCGGGTTGTTGAGGATGTTGCCCAAGGCGATGGTGCCCCCACTGTGGCATGTAAGGTCCAGGTGCAAGGTGATACGTTCTGGTTCGGCTACCTTCCGACCTCTCCTTCCAAGACCTCAGTGCCCTCTGGGAACAGGCCTTCACAGCCTTGGGCGTGCCCATGCCACACCGCATGTACTCCGGCCCTCGCCCGGTGCATGAGGATGACCTCACTTTGGGCGCAGCTTCTCTCGGACCCTCGCCGTTTGGTTTCATCAACAGCGGCGGCTGGCTCTTGGTTACTTTCATGCCTGAGACCAGAGGCGGTGGTGCTAAGGATGCCAAGTTCCGTTCCGCCCAGAAGGGCCTGGCACAGCTGCTACTAGATAAGGGTGTTCCCTTGAACCCTAATTACGACGGGCATCGTTGATAAGCTTTTGGGCGCCGCTGGGGTTGCCAGAGTCCAGCGTGCCTTGGACCTTACGGAGATACCCAACCGCTGGCTTCAGATCCAGGACCTGGCCCGCCAGTTTGCTGTTCACATACCCGAGGCCACCCCCGGCACTGAGAAGGCGTGCAGAGGCTGCGCGGCGACGTGCCAAAACCGAAACCAAGGTGCGTGCTGCTGACTTTGTCCTTTTGCCCGGCTTCTTCAAGAATGCAGACATCTATGACTATCCTCACGTGCCCACATACAGCAAGGGGTCAGCACCTTTTTGGTGCCTTTGGGGTTTCTTCGGGCCTCCCGTCGCCCAGGGTCATTTCTTCTATGGTTTCATGCCTATCGTTTTGGTGAAGCGGCCAATCCTGGGCCGCCCCGCACAGCATCTATCATCACCCTGGCGGTGGTCAACCCGACCACCATTCTTGACAAAGAATGGCAATTAAGTCAAGTGCGAGCCGATGTGCTCATTGCAAGTGAGACCTCCGCCAATGCGCAGGTTCAGCAGATCATGTCTTACAAGTTACGGGGATTGGGTTTTCGTTGCCTCTGGGGTGCCCCCACCGAAACACGGCACCACGCCAGCACCGGCAAAGCAATGTTACGTAGTTATGCACTTGGGGTGGCTCTGTTCTCCAAGCTGCCCTGCCGTCCTTCGGTACAAGCGCTACCGCCGCACATGGACCTCAGCTGTCGCATCTGTGAGTCCTTCGTTCGGCTCCACTTTTGGAAATCAAAGTCATTACTGTCTATGGCGTTCCCCGCTGCCTCCCCGAGGCCGCGGCCAAGAACGACCTCCTGCTTGCCTGGGCCTACCAGCGCGCTACATTGTCATGCGTTCCAGCGTTGGTGGCGGGTGATTTCAATACCTGCCCCACTGAGTTAACCTGGCAGGCCTTTCAGGGTCTTGGCTGGGTCGAGTTGGGCTCCTTCGCCTCTTTGGTGCACGGGCTCCACCTTCCCAGCACATTCAAAGGTGCCACCAGGTATGATACCTTTCTTTTACCTCCTTCCCTGTTCCAGTTTTTCTCCTCTGCCGATGTCATGACTGACGAACACGTCCAGATGGCTTTGGCCCCTCCCTCGGACCTTCGATGGCTTCCTACTGCACAAGGAGGCACTTGCCCCTGCGTATGCTGATACTGCGGCACCTCTGCAACATGCCTTTTCCCCTCAGGTCCCCGAGGCTTCCCCTGTCGATAAGCTTCGCCTCTGGTCTGCCACAGTCGAAGAAGCCGTTTCTGTTGCCCTCAGGAAGGAACATAAGGCTTATGACCAGCAGGACTTTCAATGCCTGCCCCGTTCCTGCAGAGGCCGCTGCCGAACGGTCGACCGCAAACAAGCATGCCCCCCTCGTCTTCCTCGGGCTGGACGTCATGGTGATCCGGAGCCGTCCGCTGAAGACACATCGGTCCTCGGCCGCCAGCGTGTCAGGCAGCTTCGCCGTCTCACCACCTTCAAACAGGGCCTTGCCAAGCACCTCCGAGGGGCTTTCCGTGGGCCCTTGGCTGTTGACGGTTGGCCTGTCAGCCTCCATAGGGAGTGGGGTGCCATTTGTCGGGCTTCAGGCTATGGCCCTTCCTTTTCCAGCTGGGTCCTCCAGTGGCCATGTTTTTCTCATTTCCCGTTGCACCGGCCTGACCTGGACTTTCTCACTGACATCACCAGCCTGGTTAAGTTTGACGTGGATGCTCTGCAGCGGCAGGCTGTAGCTGTGAAATGCAAGCTCTTCCGCTTCCAACTACAGGTTGACGCCTCGGATTTTGGCGGCTCCAAAAGCTTTGTCCGTATCAAGCCACCTGAGAAGCCTCCCTTCACCTGTGTTCTCCTGGACTACAGATCCCCGGCCCGCTTGATCCAGCGCCATTCTTTCCAACTGTGCACTTTCCAGGTCCAGGCGGTCAGGCCCTTCGAACTGCTCTGCCAGGTCTCCTTCGCCCAGATTCAGGGACAGGTTACAAGTGCACAAGATGACCGGGTCACAGTGCTCTTCCCGGCGGATGATGACTTTGTCTTGCCGACCTGCGGTGAGCTCCGAAGGCTTCGCCACGACTCTTCATGGGAAGGTGTGATAGGTTCCCTCATGGAATACTGGTGCCCTATCTACCGGGATAACCGCAGTGAGGCCACGGATCTCGAGAACTGGCCGGGCTACCAGCACCTTGTGCGCCTGCTCTCAAGCCCATGCCCTACCATGGACATCAACATGACGGATACCTCCGCCTGGCTTCATGTTGCCAGAGGCTTGTCCCCCCGCAAGGCTACTGGAGTGTGCGGCTGGCATAATAAGGACCTCCGCCTCTTGCCGGCCGAAGCATTGGCTGATTTGGCCTCCATCATGCAACAGCTCTTGCCTCTGGGATTCCCGGATTTCCTTATGAAAGCTCGGGTTGCTGTTTTGAGTAAAGTTCAAACGCCAGACAGCGCGGCGCAGGCCAGGCCCATCACCATCCTTAGTTGCCTCTTCCGACTGTGGGCCAGGGTCCTTTGTTCCCAGGTCCTTGTCATCTGGAGCCAGAAACTCCCTCGCTCCATCACGGGACCTTTCATATGAGATACAGGCGCTGGTCGAGGAAAGCCTCTGTGAGAGATCGGACCTGTCCGGTTTCTGTTTGGACCTTCGAAAGGCCTTCAACTTTCTGCCGCGGCCCCCCTTTGCGATCTGTTGATGCGCCTCGGCCTTCCCTCTGACGTTGCTCAAGGCTGGGGCAAATCCCTGACAAAGGTGTCTCGCTCCTTCCAGATTCATGGCAGTTTGGGCCCCGAGCTCCCTTCAACCACAGGTGCGCCCGAAGGCGACCCCACATCTGTCTTGGGCATGATTGCGGTTTGTTGGCTTTTCGTGGAGCTGCTCCAGGGGGTTGTTTCTCCGAAGGCCTACGTTGACAACTTGTCCTGGACCTCAGATGACCCGGAAAATCACGCCCCGGCCCTCTTGATCCTGGAGGATTTCCGCCAGGCCCTTTCCTTGGAAATTGACTGGCAGAAGACTTACCAGTGGGCTACTTCTCCGGTGTCCCGCACGTGGTGGCTCACCGTTGGGGTTGATTTTCTCCCCGGCTCTACTTGTCTTGTTGATCAGGTCAAAGAGCTTGGCTCCTACTTTCAGTTTACCAGGCGCCGCTCACGAGGCCCCTTCCAGCAACGGCTTCAGGAAGCCTTACAACGCCTCTCCAAACTGGGCTCAGACTCCCAGGGCTTGCCTACAAAGGCGCAGGTGGTTCAGGGTGGAGTTTGGCCCTTCCTTTTCTTCGGCACTAAAGGCCTGGCCCCTCCTACGTCCACCGTCCATACCTTGCGCAGTGCCGCTGCACGTGCCATTGTCGGTCCACATCATATTTTGTCGCCGTATGCAGCGATGTGCTTCCTGCCCGCTGTGCAGGATCCTGAAATCTTCCTGCTCTGCCACCACGTCAGTCAATTGCGACGGGCCTTCGCCACTACCCCATCAACTGCCGCATTGATACTGCAGCGCCTTACCGGGCCCTCCTTTTCTCAGAGGACTGTTTGTGGGCCGGCTAGTGCCCTTCAGGTACTGTTAGCCAGGAATGATTGGACCGTGCAGGCGGATGGCCTCTTCCGGGGCCCCTTACATTGCCGCTTCCACTTGCACTCCGCCTCTGCCCGCCAGGTGCGCAACATGTTCCAGTTGGCATGGGGCTCGCAGGTGCAGGACCAGATACAGCACCGTAATGGCCTTTCCACTGCCCCAACACCGCATGCTCAGCTGTCAGCTGCCTCCCTTGCCTCCTTTCGGCCTTGGGAGCAAAAGTTTCTTGCCCGCAGCATGTGTGGTGGTTTCATGTCCGGAGCGGAGCGCAACACTTGGTCCAGGGATTCCACGGACCTCTGCCCATTGTGCCATGAACTGGACACGCGGGCCCACAGGATCTTCTGCTGCCCAGCTCTCCAGGACAAGCGTGCGCCCCACATGTCCGTCCTTGCCGCTGTGCAGGCGCAACTTCCGCACTGGACGTACATGCCATATGTTTCTTGGCCCTACGAAGCATCGGTTTTAAAACTCCTGCTCGCGCAACTCCGCCTCCCAGCTGTCGCCGGGCCTGTCGCAGACCAACATGTGTACCTTTTCACTGACGCCAGTGCCATCCACACCAAGTGTCCCTCAGCACGCGTCACTGCTTGGGCGGTGGTCCGTGGACAGCCGCCGTCATCTGCCCCCAACCTTACGGCCGAGGATGTTGCTCCTGCAGCGCTTCTTCCTTGTTTTTCGGTTTTAGGGCAGGGTTGTACTCCAGGTCCCCAGACAGTGCCGAGAGCTGAACTTGCAGCCTTGGCATGGGCGAGCGCATGGGCCCAACAACAGCAAAATGTTTCTGTCGACATCTGGACAGATTGCCAGCCTGCACTAGACCTTTGGCACCGCTGGTGCCGCTACGGCTGGGAGTACATACGAGGTTCAGTGAATGCTGACTTGCTTCGAGATGTGCCGCGCCCCACTTCTGTACAGGCACATAAGATCAAGGCGCACCGCTCCTCGGCTGAGCTGTCTGCTACTCCATACTGGGACCAGTGGCTGGCGGCAGGAAATGCTGCTGCCGATGAGGCGGCTAAGCAAGCTTGCCGCGATTTGCCTGCAGCGGTGCACGCCATGTCTGACCAGGTCGCATTGCATTGTTCCGAGCAGGCACTGCTTCTTCGGCAGTTCTTTCGAGCCATACTTGCAATGGGTGTCCTCGATGCCTAGAAGCGACGACAAGAAGTAAGACAACAGCACGAACTTCAAGTCGCACAGGTCGCTTCGGCTTCGTGCCGTCTGGAACTTTTGGAGCGCCTTCGGAACTGGCGGGTGCCTCCATCGGGGCTCTTGTCCGTCCCGGAAGCGTGGGAGGAGTCGTGGGCGAACTGGCCATTTGGCCTAACGTATGGGCGACTTTTGCTTCAATGGTTGCAACGCTTGCGGTGGCACAAGCCGCCTGCAGCACCAGACGCCACTTGGGAGGTGTCCTACCTGGAGATGCTGCTCAGTTTCTGCGATACCGCCAACACACCTCCGCTGGTCGAGAACGTTTTTCAGCCCGGCTCTTATTGGTCCCTGGTCCAGGCGAAATCTCAGTTGCAGCACGTCAGTGTCCGACAAATGGTTACTTGTTTCAGAGCGGCCCTGATTCGGCTCGGCTCGCTCTTGCAACATACAATATTCCCTTGTGCAGAAGTCAAGGACATAGCCCACCTTCGCTTCTTCAGAATCACGTCTCCGAATCCCGGACTGGCTGCGCGCCCTTTCTTGCCTGGAAATGGTTGGGTGGACCTACTGGAGCAATGCGCCGATTCGGATTGCGCTGTCGAGTTCCTCGCCGGCTTACGATGGTAAACTTGCTTCACCAAAGTGTGTGGCGCTTCTCACCCGGGACGCATTGCGGATCATTCGTGGTGCTTGGGTGTCGCAGTCTGTGCTGTTCGCATGTACATTCTGCCGGCCCCTTGCACCCCTCAGGCAACGGTAAAGGTTTAGGTGTTTAGGTTTTTAGGGTTTAGGTGTTTAGGTTTTTAGGGTTTAGGGTTTAGGACAGCCTAAGATCCTACAAATAACTTCATCAATCTACAGCTACCCTCCTTAACGGTTTGTCTGAACCCTGTAAAGCTCACCCGTTAAAGGCATCACATAAGGAGCAGATGATAAGGAACCCGCAAAAAGCCACATACCTAAAGCCTAAAATGAACAGTCTGCCCCCCCCCCAGCCTCCTAAACCCCAAACGCCAACCCGTGAACCCTAAACCACCCTTAACCCCCTCGGCCCCTGAACCCCCTCAGCCCCTAAACCCTAAACCCTAAGCCCCAAACCCTAAACGGTAAACCCTAAACCCTAAACCCCTTAGCCCCGCACCCAAAGGCAGGACATCCAGAAGCCTAAACCCTAAACCCTAAACCCTAAACCCAAAGCCTTAAACCCTAAACCCCTGAGCCCCGCACTCAAAGGCAGGATCAACCCTAAACCCAAAACCCCAAACCCTAAACCCTAAACCCTAAACCCTAAACCCTAAACCCTAAGCCCTAAGCCCCAAGGCAGGATAAACCCTAAACCCTAAACCCTAAGCCCTAAGGCAGGACATCCAGAAGCCTAAACCCTAAACCCTAAACCCTAAACCCTAAGCCCAAAGCCCCAAGGCAGGAGATCCAGAAGGCCGTGGACCTTGCATCTGGCACCATCGAAGCACTCGAGGCGATTCGGCGGTCTATAGGGTTCAGAGTTTAGGGTTTAGGGATTGGGGTTTAGGCGTTAAGGGTTTAGGGTTTAGGGTTTAGGGTTTAGGCGTTTAGGCGTTTAGGCGTTTAGGGTTTAGGGTTTAGGGTTTAGGGTTTGGGGTTTAGGCGTTTAGGGTTGAGGGTTTGGGGTTCAGAGTTTGGGGTTTAGGCGTTTGGGGTTTAGGGTTTAGGCGTTTGGGGTTTGGGGTTTAGGGTTTAGGGTTGGTTTAAGGGGTCTTGCAGGGGTTTATTACCAAGACTAGAGGGTTGACAGGGTTTAAGGTTTGAAGTGTAGGGTTTCTGGTTCAAGGCTTAGGGTTTAGGGCCTATACTTAGGCTTTTGCCTTCTCGGCAGGGTTCAGGGTTTCAAGGTTCGGGGTCTAGGGTTTTATGATGTAGGGTTGCACAACTTAGGCTTGTAGCTTGCGCGCACCACGCTGTTTTGAACTTTTTCGGGCAAAGGGTTTCGAGAACGTGTCGTTTGGAGTTGGGGAGGTTATTCTGAGAAGTGGTTTCTGTAAACCCTAAACCCTAAACCTCTTCTGTACACCTAACCATACCCTGCACCATACGGCAGAGAAGAGCCCGAACAAGAAGTCTAAGCACCCTAAAACCCTCGGGGTTTAGGGTTTAGGGTTTAGGGTGGGGGAGAATGTGGTGACCACGGGCTTAGGGTTCAGGGTTCAGGGTTTTGGGGGTTTGAGGGTTCAGGCTTTTAGGGTTTTAGGGGTTTAGGGGTTTAGGGTCTATAGGGTCTATAGGGTTTTGATGACAGTGACATCTTCACAGACAGCTTTGCTAAATCGACTATAATATTTTGGGGCTCCTTACTATAATTAGGGCCCCGAAACCATAAACCCTTATAGAAACCCTTATAGTAGCCCCTTTAAGGAACCCTTTGAAGGAACCCTGTTCTAACTATTAAGGCCCCTTAACCCTAAACCCTAAACCCTAAACCCTAAACCCTAGACCCTAGACCCTAAACCCTAGACCCTAAACCCTAAATCCTAAGCCCTTATAGTAGCCCCGTAAGACCCAAAGGTGGAAAAAAGGCTGAGGACGCCAAGGAAGAGACGGTTCCAAAGGCTAATCTTAATGGTTTAGGGTTTTAGGGTTTAGAGTTTAGGGTTTTAGGGTTTTAGGGTTTAGGGTTTAGGGTTTAGGTTTTAGGATCCAGGGTTTTAGGGTTTAGGGTTTAAGTTAAGGGTTTAGGGTTTTAGGGTTTAGGGTTTAGGGTTTACAGTAGGGTTTTAGGGTTTAGGGTTTAGGGTTTAGGCTTTAGGATCCAGGGTTTTAGGGTTTAGGGCTCTAGGGTTTTGGGGTGTTAGGGTATAGGATCTAGGGTTTAGGGTTTAGGGTTTAGGGTTTAGGGTTGAAGGTTTAAGGGTTTAGGGACCATCAGTCCCTACCCTACTTGGAGGTTCATGGGTTATAAGTAGGGTTATAAGTAGGCTAACTATAGTTTTAACAGATATGAGGGGACTTATAACTCCACTTACAACTTCCCATGAACCTCCAAGTGGATCATCAGCCCTTACCCTAAACCTGACTAACCCTACATGAATTTAGGGTTTAGGGTTTTAGGGTTTAGGGTTTAGGGCTTAGGGTCTACTGGATCATCAGTTCTTACTCTAAACCTGACTACAGTAGAAGCCAAAAAGTTGGAACATCATTCTCCTCATGCTCTTAAGGTAAAGTAGAGGGAATCCCATCACTAATCATCCTCTTTCCATGTTCCCTCTTTCTGGGGATCACTGTTACCCGCAGGGATCAGGGGACACAGTACCGTCAGTCGGGTCATGAGCATCCTAGCCAGTAATTGGAGATATACATAAATTTGTATCCCTGCCTCTTCAGTCAGCTGCCGGATCCTCCAAGTGATTCCTACAGGAAGCCGGGAGCCAGCAATACAGGGTCCGGAATAGATATTCCCTTCGAGCCTTGGCCGTCCTTATATAAAGTACAAAATACCCCCTCATAGATGATAGAAATCCTGCATTACCCACGATAAGGAATATACTATAGTTAATTCCGTTAGTTTAGGGTCCTTAAGGCAATGCAGGGTTTATATCATCAACCGTATTAAATGCTCCCGCGAAGTCCTCACCCAAACCCGCACAAGTAGACATGGCTGCGGGATTTTCGGGGTTTAGGGTACAGGGGTTACGCGTTTTTGAGTCCAACCTTCCAACCCCAGGTCCTGAAAGCTCCACTAAAGCACTGAACTCGAAAACCTCGCCGCAGACGATGATGAACAATCCGGTGAACATCAGCTGGGGCCTTGTGTTGCTTGGAGTTAATGTAGGAACCTGATTAAGAAACCTTGGCCCTATAACCCCAATACATTCGGCCTCATATTGAAAACCAAATCAGGTTCCTACATTAGGATGAAAGGTTTGCGGTTTGGGTGTAGGGTTTGTTGGGGGATTCGGGTTTGGCCTTCAGGGCTTGTTGGTTTGGGTTTTGGGTTTTGGGTTTAGGGTTTGGGGTTTAGGGTTTAGGGTTTAGGGTTTAGGGTTTAAAGTTTGGGGTTTAGGGTTTAGGGTTTACTGTTTAGAGTTTAGGGTTTAGGGTTTGTGGTTTAGGGTTTAGGGCTTATGGTTTTGAGGGATTTGGTAGGGCTTTTTCAACGTGCGTAAAGGGCCTCGCCAGCATCCTGCAAGTACGTGTGCCCTGGCCCGGGCCTCTGCCTCTGCCCTGTTTTCCCCTGGCTTGCTCATGTTTAGGGTTTAGGGTTTAGGGTTTTAGGGTAAATTGAAACCCTAAACCCGAAGCCCTCAAAGGAATAGGCTTGGGCGGTTTGGCCGCATCAGACGGCGCTCTACGATGCACTCGAATTTCCACTGTCGCAAGATATTTCCGCCTTTCCCAAACTCGCTGAACCCTAAACCCCAAACTAAACCCCTGCACCCTAAACCCTAAACCCTAAACCCCTACAGCCCTAAACCCTAAACCCTAAACCCTAAACCCTAAACCCTAAACCCCTAAAACCCTAAACCCTACACCTTTTCCTTCGCCGCCAGACCCGGTGTCCGATCCTACCAACCCGTCCTCTTCCACGATGTACCACAAGCCGCTGGGATCAGATAGCATGGCTTAGGTTTAGGGTTTAGGGTTTAGGGTTTAGGGTTCAGGGTGTCAGGGCTTGTGGGGTTGGCGACGTTGTGGTGTGGTTTTAAGGTTGAAGGTGTTGGGTTGTGCGGTTTAAGTCTTGGGACATGAAGGGACTTCGCAAGAAGGGTTAATGTAGGAGCCTAAATAGTTACCAATACTGTTTTGGGGTTGCTTAGTCTAGTTATAGTATAATATTTACCCCAACACCCTTTTCTACTTACTAAGGCCCCTACATTAGGCGTAGTTCTGTGTGTAAGGCCGGGTTTGGTTCGCAGACTTTCGTGTTTACTCGCTTAATGTTCAGGGTGATGAGTTGAGGGTGTTGGGTTTTACGGTTTAGGGTTTAGGCTTTGGGGGTCGGGTTCGATTCAATTTGAGGTCGTGGCCTTGGGCTTGGCGCTTACGGCTTCCCGAAGCCCTACACCCTACACCCTAAGCCC